ATTGTTAGTCATTTTTAACGAAACATGTATCAATTAGAGATTATTGCCCCAAAGCACAACTACATATATATATAGTGACTATTACAGCTAATAATGCAAGACTCTTCGGTAAATCGAATCGAGTTCTCATAGTCGCTGTCTGTTTATCTAAAATTAAATACGCTTAAATTCACCTTCATCCCTGTCGTGTGCCAACGGCTTAGTGATGCCAATTCAGTCGGGTTTCGATCCTAGCTAGAGGCAACCGTACGTCTAGCCACACTGATGAGCTGTGATACAGCGAAACAGTCTGTCTGTGGATGACAATATATATATATATATATATATATATATATATATATATATAAACAAATTGTTGTGACCACACCAAGTTAGGATGATCTTTAAAACGGAGGAACATAATTTATTCCTAAAATAAGGATACAAAAGTATCACAACGAATAAAATTGAAACCTGAGTTACGTTTCGGCCGACACATCTTCAGAAATAAATCATCGGTATTAAGACAAAATTCCTGAAAGAATTATTTTTTTCAACAACTGAATTTAAAATAACACCAAAGAGGGAATGGGTGGGAAGAATTAATAATTTTTCCTCCTAGCTTAGCGTAGAATTAGTGACGGATTCCCCGAATAGTAAATAATCTCCACCCATCTTTGAAATATGGTATGGTGGTGGAAGAGAATAATAAGTTACCTTTCCTGGATGTGTTGAGTGAGACAACTTCGTCAATGTTTATACCCACCTGTATGCTGGAGTATACATCAGTTGAGACTCATTTGCTCCTAAATCCACGAATATCAATCTCGTCAAAAATGCTCACCTATCGCCCTTTGATGTTATATTCAGAGTGCAAGGTTGATGCTGAGCTCAGGCAAATTAAACAGCTGTTTCTGGCGAATGGTTACACTAAATGTGTTATTGCAAATACCATTGAGCGTAAAATTGCTAAGATTAATAGAGTTAAAGTGTTTGGTCGATCTATGTGTCATGTATATATAAGACTACCGTAGATTGGTCTCAGTAGTCAGGTAGACTTCGATAAAATATCTTCTTCGGTCAGGCGGTGTTTTAATTCAGTAGAAGTTCGGAATATTTTGTTCCATCAGAAGGACTTATCCCTCTATCTGTACGGATGTCTTACCTACCCATCAGCAGAGTTTAGTCGTTTATCAATAAAAATGTTTGTGTGAGGCTCACTATGTGGGTAAGACTATCAAGCGGTAAGAGGTTGGAATCGCCCAGCATGCCCCGGGCCAAATACGCAGACATGTGCCTTTTATAGATACAAATATTTAAGTAAATGCTCTGTTTATAATGAGCCGATATGAATGTACGTGAGAGAATCATGGAAAATTGTAGTTTAAATGATTCCACGTACATTCATATCTGCTCATAAGCAGAGCATTTACTTAATTATTTGTATCTAAAAAAAGAATGTATAAACATAAAAATGTCTTAAAATAATTGTCGGACTTTGTCCATTTCATAATGTGTGACGTCATTTGTTTACATTTGGATACGCCATGAGCAGATATGAATGTACGTGAGAGAATCATGGAAGATTTTAGTTTAAAGACAGTAAAATCGACCTTGCTAACCGAACGCTCCTCTGTGGCCAAATCGGTTAAAGGCACGTCAGGCTATATGACATTTCCGTATAGGATACAAGTTTGATTCCTGCCGGAGGACGAATATTTTCTATGAAAATTTTTCGGACATTCAGGCCAGTAAATGTTGTTTAATACTGTTTATTATAAACATAGCATTTACTTAAATATTTGTATCTATAAAAAGAAATATATAAACATAACAATGTCTTAAAATATATATATATTGTTATGATCCGGTTCCTTGTACCACGGTGATAGTCCAAGGTATTACCAATAAAAAAGAACTCGAACATAGGTATGGAATAACACAGATATATTACAAACAGGAATATATACAGAAAAGTAGAAGTGTTAGTATGAACAATCAGGTTTAGTAGAGAGAACAATGTAGTCTCGACCAGTATCACTATTCTAATGCCTTGCAGTAATTGTCTGAACGCGACTCTGTTTCGAACTGCCCCTGACTCGACTCTTGACTCGACTTGAACTACTGACTCCCTGCCTACTCCTGAGTCGCAGTATTTATTAAGTATAGAATAGTCCATTATTATTATTATTATTATTATGGGTAAGATCCCATAACACCCCCCTTCCGAAGCTTTTGCGTAGCAGGTGTTTTTTTTTAATATCTTTTTTCTTTGGATCTATTTCCAAAGGTTCAGTAAATTTTCTTTTTCTAGACGATTTTCTTGGTTCTGGCATTATTTTTTGCGGTCTTGTTATATCGAATGTGTCGAAAATCGTGTCCAATACCTCTTCTTGAGGTGGACCGTTAGCATCCTGTAATGGTCTCTTCCTTATTTGGTTTACGTGTCCTCTGTGTTAGAATTTTTTCCTTGTACTATGTACATCATATTACCAATTCTTTTCTCAATTATGCCTTGCTCCCAGTAAGAGGTATTATTTTTATATGCCTTAAAAAAACTTTTTCTCCTGGGAGGAATTTTCTTTTTGGTGGGTAGGACTGTGTTACTTGTTTTGTTTTACTTGGTAGTAATTTATCGAATGCTGATCTGGTTTTCCTAGCAAACATGACTTCTGCTGGTGATAATGTTGATGGTGTAGCATTATTTGGCGTTATTCTATATACCTGTAGGAATTGCTGCAATGCTTTCTCTGTAGGCACATCGTACGCTTTTCGTAACGCTCTTTTGAAAGTATCCACGAATCTCTCCGCTTGTCCATTTGATCTTGGGTGATAAGGCGGGGATTTTATATGTTTTACTTGATAAATTTCGCTAAACTCTTGGAAGTCTGCTGACATGAATTGCGTTCCATTATCTGTTACTAAGCAGTTCACTACACCAAACCGAGCGAATAGCTCGTGGAGGAAATTTATGGTCGTTTCTGTTGTAGGATTTTTGCATCAAAATACCTCCGGCCATTTACTGTAGCTATCAACTATGATTAAATAGTAGAACCCGTCAATTGGTCCTGCATAATCTGCGTGTATTCTTGACCATGGACGATCAGTCTCTGGCCAAGGCTTATATATGATTGGCGGTGCTTTGGCTGCTAAATTACAACCTTGCATATTTTTCGTCATTCCAGTAAATGTTACGTTTGTAATTACTTCACCCTCGAATTTTATCTTTCTTCCCGTAACTGATCTAGCAATTTTATTCGTTTTTAACATGACAGGTTTGTTCAGTTTTCTCCATGTTTGTAGGTTTATGATAGTTAAGTCTGAGCCAGAATCCAGCTGTAACCTAACTTTTCTGTTTTGCATTTCAACTTGTACATATTTTCTTATATTAGTCTCATCTGCTTGATCAGTCCTCGTAATTCTTATTCTGCTTTTGCTTTCTTTTCTATACCAACTACGAGAACTTTTGTGGCCAATTTTTTTTACATGATAGACAAGTTTTAAAACGATATGTACAGTCTTTAACCCAATGCCAAGACCCATAACGATAGCATGGACTGGGTGGTAGTATTTTTATGTTGATTATAATTAGAAAGTTTTCTTGAGGCGGGAAAATCGGTTCGGTTTGTTTGTGAGGAGGGTAAATTTGTTTGCCTTCGTACTTTGCGTACGCGTGCTATGCCAGCTTGTTCTATGTTTTTTGAGTCTTTCTTCACACTGATGCATCTCTGGCAGTCTTCGGCTAGTTTTTGAAATGTCAGATCTTGTTCACTCTCCAATTTAGTAAGTATTCTGCGTCTCATTTCCGCGTCTTTGGTTGAAACCAGGCCTTGGACGTAAATTAAGCATTTGAAATTGTCCGCGCTGAGTACCAATGGATGCGAAAGTTATGTAATCTTCGTTGTCCTTTTTTGTAAGGTTCAAGCATTTCCATCTTTTATGGAATAGTGGAGTATTATGGCTGAAAAGTTCCGTTAGCAGTTTTATGGATTCTTTGAACATTAACTCGCTTGTTTTTATGGGAGGGATATAATCTACGAATTTGGTATATTCGCCTGTGCCTAATTTTCTTAGTAATAGGCGTACTTTACGTGCGTCTGATCAATTTTGCAGTCAAAATCATATAGATCTTCGAACCTTCGGAAGTAATTTGCAAAAGTTTTATCTTCGTCGGGTGCGTACTTGAAATCTTCGATATTACTCCAAATAGTGTCTTGGGAGAGAACTATTTCGTTCTCGGATTTTTGCTCCTTATTTGCACGTAACAATAATTCTTGCAATTCCAGATGTTTCTGTTCGTACCTTTGTTGCTGTTCAAATTGGATTTTGATAAGTTCCATAATGGCTTAAAATCTTTCATGTTAACGTATTTTTTTATGTAACCTGATATTCTATAGGCTGTGTACGCAACAAAAAAAAAACTTTCCTTTGTTGTCAGTGAAAATTTGATATAAAAAAAAAAAGAATTTTTTTCTTTTTTTAGTTTCGTATTACCCTTTTAGGATTTCCTCGTCGCCACTTGTTATACGCGACGGATATAAAAAAAGTAGGCATATCCTCCGCGTAGAGAGTTGGTTTCCGCGTCGCCACTTGTTATACTGTGGCGAACGAAATTTTTTTTCTTCCACCGTATGAATTCGAATCTTCGTTGCCAGTTGTTATGGTCCGGTTCCTTGTACCACGGTGATATTCCAAGGTAGAACCAATAAAGAACTCGAAGGCGGATATGGAATAACACAGATATATTACAAACAGGAATATATACAGAGAAGAAAAGTGTTAGTACGAACAATCAGGTTTAGTAGAGAGAACAATGTAGTCTCGACCAGTATCACTATTCCAATGTCTTGCATTAATTGTCTGAACGCGACTCTGTTTCGGACTGCCTCTGACTCGACTTGAACTACTGACTATTCCTGAGGCGCAGTATTTATTAAGTATGGAATAGTCCATTATTATTATTATTATGGATAAGATCCCATAACATATATATATATATATATATATATATATATATATACTTCCAGCGTAATGAGATAGATAGATAGATAGATAGATAGATAGATAGATAGATAGATATCAAACTCGTTATATAATATTGGCCTGCAAACTAGTTGCCCATGGTTTCTAGATTATACTGAATTGTAAACTGTACTAATTGTAGATTATTACTAATTTGTTTTCTATCCTCATTGGGTACCCCATTGTTGTGATCATGGGCGTCATATGTTAAGCATAGTAAATAGCTGTATAAGCTATCAAAAAAAATTTTTTTCTCAACTAGATTTATGTAAATATATATTACTAATTCCATCTAATTTCCCCGTGAACAAAACATCTAGAACAGTTTTATACTCATTGGTTAATAAAAATTGTGTAGACAGTTTTATGGAGACCCTCTTCATTTATAATTGTACAGGTGAACACAATGACAGTAATAAACGGAGTATATGGATGCAAGATACACACGGCCACACCTATGTATGGTTGGGTGTGAATTTTATGTAGCACCCCTTCAAATCCCTTGCTCCCCCCACACACAAACGGAAATTTCTCTTCGATATTATTTCCACTCGGAAATCTGCACCTGCATCGTCCACACGTTTTCAAATGCTCATAATTTACTGACAACTCAGTTTTCCCCTTTATTTCACATATTATATATATATATATATATATATATATATATATATATATATATATATATATATATATATGGCATTATCTCCGCACACCCTTTGCACGGTATTTCTCACTATTCGTGCCCCCTTGCTGGTATTTTATAACTTGTAAGTATCTCATCCCCAATATTTTGGGTGTAACTCAGATTTATTTCTGAAGGAAAGAATTTGGTACTCATCTTCTGCAATGGCGTATGACTTGATGTACTTTAAGAAATGATACAATCAAGATTTTGCCCTGAGACTTACAATAATGACTTTCTCTATCTCATTTATTCTTTTTATATTATTATTCTCTTTCTCTCACACATTCCTTCATTTTTTATCTATCTATCTATCTATCTATCTATATATATATATATATATATATATATATATATATATATATATATATATATATATAATTTCTATGTAGCTATACCTTTTTAAGAATACTTTTTTACACCAGCGTTTTTCTTTTTTCGTTATACTTTTTAAGATTAAAAACTTTAAAAGGTTTGAAAACGTTTTATCATTTTTACATCTTTTTAGAATAAAGTTGTTAAATATCAAAGATGGACTTCGTGTCCAACTTGGACATTCAACAAATTTACACACACACACACACACACACACACACACACACACACACACACACACACACACACACACACACATATATATGTATATATATATATATATATATATATATATATATATATATATATATATATATATATATATATATATATATTGTCTTTTCTACAGATATACTCCATTTGAGAATATTTAGTCACACACTGTTCGTAGCATTTACTTTAAAAAGTGCTCAATACAAAGTAGAGCAATATATTATTATTTTTATTATAAGAGATTATCATAAAAAAAAGTTGAAATCGTTACTCAAAAGCTTTCATGTTTCAATACTTTGATTGTACTTCTTCAGGCGATGGTAAGTAACTGGTGATTAAATGATTTTTAAGAAACTTTAAAACCAAACTTAAAGGTGGGAATAACTAAATTCCAGCATTAAAAATAAACTTGTCGGTATGTCATGATAAACCGGAACATAGACAGGCCATCATTGACGATTGCGGAATTATCGGCGACAAATGGTTTCTGTTTATTAAAATGGACTATCTATTGGATGAGAACCAATTTTGATTCATGCTTGGTTATTTTAAAACATCAGCGTATGAGAATTTCAAATGAAACGTAAAGTATTTTTATTGTCGTAAGAATAATATATTTACGTGCAGATTCCTACATATTCTTACGCACAGTCGGAATTTACACTTCTCATAGGAAAGAATGAACGATTTCGGTATCCTTACGAAAGAACTCGCTTTTTGTATTTACTAAGAATTTATGCAATACAAGGCCCAAGGGCCACTCAAAGTGAGATTTTTGTAAGGGAGGTGGAAGGAGGTATTAAGAAATGCATATTATAAGCATGCGTAGGATAGATATCCATTGACCCTGAACATGAAGAGACCAAGATTGTCAGAAGACCGAGGAAGCATCCTTTCGGGAGTCTGTTACACAAAGCTGTATTTCCCAGGAAGACGCTATCTGAGTGGAACTTTCTCTTTATCAAAGAAACGTGCAAGGAATGAGCGTGGTTTACCACCATGAACATGACAGCGGGTACAAGCTGTGAAGGTCTGAACTGGTGGGTCTAAGGAATGTAACTTGTCTGAACATTTTAGAATAGCCATGGAATAGTAAGAGGCTAGCAACGCTTTTGAACTCAGTCAAGGATAGCAATACTCCATTTTTGGTCTGATCTGACTCTTGTAAAGATAGAGAATGGCAGCGGGTTTTAGTTATTTTTCTGGAGCAATACAAGGAACCAGCTATTCTTTTGCGAGGGCACGTATATGACCGATAGAAAATGGCACGTGTATGACGGAAAGAAAATGCAGTAGAAGTGATGCCGCTGAGGATCTCAGGACCACCACATCTGCAGCCATAGAAGTAAAAGTGGTTCTTCCTGGATAAGAGAGCCTGACGAAACCCAACATTCCTCAGATTGGTTTGAATTTAGAGTTTTCCTTTTCCTAGACTGGTTCCCAATGAAAGTTATAAGTCTCAATCGGTCCTGCTATCTGCCCATAGCAAAGAGATGGATTTATACGTTTCCCAAGGGTGTTAGCACGTTCGCGAATGTAATGAAATTCGAACTCGACTCTCCGATTCCTTAATCCGAACCGATCTTCATTACTCCATCGTGCACTAATATAGGCGTTCCATTTGAGATTTGGAGTGAACTCTCCAGAAAATATTAAAATACATCGGTGTCACAATATTACTGGACACGTATTGATTCTAGCGTCGTATGTTGCATTGGTGCTCACAACTCGAATCATATTTCTATTGGCATCTGTTGCGAAGAATGAAATATTCTGAAAGTCTCTTACTAAAATTCAAAGAACTGTCTCATCAAAAGCCAGAGGAACACAATGAACAATGAAGATGTCACTTGTCAAATTCATGTCTTAACTGTTCAATGCTTAAATGGGAAAACTGCATTTAGCTGACATATAACTGCTATAAAGAGATTTCTTCTTCTTCTTCTTCTTCTTCTTCTTCTTCTTCTTCTTCTTCTTCTTTGTGCGGTGTCCTTTATGGCTTGTAGTTCTTAACAACATTCGTATTTTTACCACTTCTGCCACGCCCTGTTCGGCTATTCATTCACATAAGTTCATCATATAGTTGGACTGCATCCCGTGAGTGTATAATTTCCCAACCCTTCCTACGTCATTATGTGTCCAAGAAAATCCAGGTGTCTCTGATTTTAAGTAAAAGTGTCCTTATGTCTCCATTTTCCCTAAAACTTACTCGCTCCGTCAAAGATATTCTCAGCATCCTTCTGTAGAATCACATTTCAAGTTTCTTTTTCGCTCGTGTGGAAATTGTCCAACATTTGTCCATATAAGAGAATTGTTGTACAATGCAGTTCAGCTCTCTCTTTGTTTCTATTGAAATTTTCCTGTTTCTTAATACTTTGCTTAGTTTCTTAGAAGGCATTTGATGTTCAAATGCACATTTCCTTGTCAAATTTCCAACTTTTTTTAAAACAGTCCCTAAATGTGTATTTATTTGATTTTGATATTTCCAGTTTGTAGTTCTTAGGCTTTTTTTCTTTTGCCGACAACCACGAGTTATTACAATTATCTTTCTTTCTCGATTTGCTTTATAGACTTTGCCTGCTATCAACATAGTGTCATCTGCGCATTTTAAGACTGTGACCATCGATACTAAATCATGATAGGATCTCCATCTCCTTTGTCATAGCCTCCGTATAAAGCTTGAATAAATCAAGTGAAAAATACATCCTTGTCTTACGCCTCTTTTCTATTTCTATGACCCTATTTAATTGATTTTCTATCCGGATGCAAGTGGTTTCCTCCCAATATAAATTGCTGATTACCCTAACATCCTTCCCAAACAGACCAAGTTTCCCTAGTAGTTCAAATAGATCCTTGTACCGTGACTTATTAAATATTTTTGCGTAATCTCTCTCTCCCATTTCATTCTGATCCTAAATATAGCATTCCTTTTTCCAATGCCCTTGACAAATCACACTGTCTTTGTTTTATTTCCGGTCTAATCCTGCTTCGAACCCTATCCACCAGAATTCTAATTATTAGGTAGGTTATGTGGCTTATAAAGATTATCCGAAAGAGCTCGCATTCATTTGCACTTGGCTTCTTTGGTAGCACTACGAAGATGAATCTACTAAGGTCTTCTGGTATTTCACCATTATCGTATATTTCATTTATTATTTTTGTGATCATGTCGATAACATATCCATCGTATTTGTATATGATCCGACGGCACAAAGTACAGAAGAAATTGAAAGGTTTTACTATACGCTAGACAACGCCAAGTTTCAATGCAAATCGCAAGAAATTAGAATCCTCATGGGAGACCTGAATGCCAAAGAAGGCAAGGTGAAAGATGGTGAAATATTTGGCAAATTTGAACGAGGAATTTGTTATAAACACGGAGAAAAATGGATCCAATGGTGCAGAGCAAATGATCAGGTAGTTGTCAACACCTGAATATAGGACATGGCACAAAGAAATTTGGAGTAAATGTAAGCTGACTAAAGAGAAATGGCTCAACTAAAAATATGAAGAAATACGAAGAATGATTATTACGGATAAAGCAGATATGCATACAAGATCACTAACAAGACAAAAGACATGCTTGTCAATAGTATACATAAAATCCAAGGATGGAATGTTGATATTAAATAAAAAATATTTCAGAGAATACTGTAGAGAACTCTTCCATGAAGAAAGAGAACAACCGGCAATACACAGAAATACCGACTTACCGGAAGTATTAAAATCTGAAGTGAAAGCAGCACAAATGGCCGAATTGAACAGAAACAAAACAGTAGGGCCATATGGAATTTTAATTGTGGTACTGGTAGCCTCAAATGATTTCGGCATTGACAAGATTACAGGCATAATTAATGAAACATACAAGAGTAGAGATATACCGGAATACTTAAGGATATCCATTTTCATAACACTATCTAGGAAG